CTGGCAAGCGTGAGGTCATGAGTTCAATTCCCAGTACCAGAAAAACAAGAACAAAAACAAAAACAAGATATAGCTCAGTATGTACTCACATACATTCGTACAACAGCTAGTATAATTAAGTTAATTAGAAAATTCATCACATTCTATGCAATATATTGAGTCCAAAATCTTATTGATCTTACAGCTAAACTTTTTACACTTTGACCAGTGTCTCTCTATTTTCTCTGCCATCATTCCCTAATAATAAACCTTCTTCTCTCTCCTGTGAGCTCTACATTTTGCAAGTCCATGTATAAGTGAGGTCCTATGTTGGTTTTTCTATGTCTGGCTTTTACACCTAGCATAATGTTTCTCAGATCATCCAGAGTTTTTAAAACAGGAAGATTTCTTTCTTCTCATATACTTAATAATATTCCCCTGTACATATACACCACAAATTCTTTCTTCATCTCCCAGTATACTCTTACATTTTCTCCAAATTTGGATTATGTGAATTGGTCTGAAATGCACATGGGGGTGCAGATACTGACCTCATTTCCACTAGATATGCATATATCCAGAAGTGGGGTTACTGGATCCTATATCAGTTCCACTGTTAATAATTTTAACAATCATTTTGTTTACTCTGAAGGTCTTTCCAATCAATATTCCCACTGACTGTGTATAAGAGATACCTTTGTCAACACTTGTGATCTCCATACCTTTGTCAACACTTGTGATCTTTTGTATCTTGTTAATAGCCATCCTAACAAGGAGAAAGTGATGTCTCACTGTGGTTGTGATTTGCATTTTTCTGATATTTTCATATCCTGTTGGTCTGTCTTCTTGGAAAAATGTCTATTCAGCTCTTTTGTCCAATTTTTAACCATATTATAGACTTTTGGACTATTGAATTTTGTGAGTTCTTTATATATTTCACTTATTAACTCCTTGCCATGGATATTGTTTTCAGATCTTTCTTTCCCACTCTATAGGTCACATTTACATTTTGCTGTTTGTTTTCTTTGCTATACAGAGGCTTTCTAGTTTGATGTAGGGCTGCTTATTTATTTCTGCTTTCATCATCTGTGCTTTTGTTGTCATTTTCAAAAAAAATTGCCAATATCAGTGTTAAAGAGTGTTTCCTTCACGTTTTAATGTGAGTTTTACAACACTGAATCAGATATTGGAGACTTTAGTACATTTCAAATTAATTGTTTATATGATATAAAAACAGATTAAATTTTATTCTTTTGCTAAGGGATATCTGACTTCCCAAGCAATTGTAAGGTCACTGTCAGATCGCTTTCAAGTATTCTTGGAGTCAGTGTCAAAGTTTTTTGTCTCTATGTATATGAGTTACTTTCTCTTCTGTGACATTGGTTTGGGGGCCTGTTTGTATGCTAGTACCTTACTGTTTTGATCACTATTATTTTGCAAGGTAGTTTATAGCCCTTGTGTTTGCTGTCTTCAGCTTTGTTCTTCTTTCTCAAAGTTACTTTCACTCTTTAGGATCTTTTGTGTTTCCATATGAGTTTAAGGACAATTGAAAAATTTATTTCAATGCCACTGGAATTTTGATAGGTATTCTATTGACCTTTAATAAAAACTTTTTAACAATTCTTCCAAACCAGAAAAATATTAACAGATACAATTAAGGTGAGGTTCTACTAGATTACTCTGGGCCCTGAATCCAAAGAATGGAGTTTTGTAGTAGAAAGAGATGTGGATACAGACACCCAAATACACATAGGTACAAACAGAGAACAAACATGCAAAGGAAGGCCAAGGATTGCCAGAAGCTACCAGGAATTGGAAAATTTAAAAAAGAATCATCTCCTAGAGTTTACAAAGAAAGTATGGGCATGTTCACACCTTAGTTTCAAACTTTGAGCCTCCAGAATTATGTTATAGCACAACATCAACACTGGAAAATGGAAGAGATGCCATATGGAAGCGCAACACTGGGTGAAATTGTCAAGGCAGTGAGTGAACCTCCACTCCAGAGACAAATATGTGACCAGTAACAGGTCAGATATTTGCAGACTGGGCCCTGTGACATTACTAAGAGGGCAAGGAGAAAAACTAGCAATGGAGAGGGAGGAGGAGTGGTCAATAAAGCAGGAAGAACATTAGAAGACAGGCAGCATTCTGGAAGTAATGAGTTTTACTAAGAGACAAGAGTGATGGTATTGGTACTAAAGAAAATAGGATATGAATTGTGAGCCTAAAATGGACTGCCAACAGGAAGGTCATTAAAGATCTTGCCAATGGAACTGTTAGTTGGGATTTAGAAGTGAAATATGATAGGAGTAAGTTTAGGAATAAATAGGAAATAGGAACTGGAGACAGGGAATATTAGATGTTGCCTCAGGAGTTTTAATGTAAGCCACAAGAGAGAAAAGAATTGTGGCAAGTGCTTAGATAAAGAAGGTTGAAGAGGTTTCCTTTTTAATATAAGAAAAATGCTAGCAACAATGATGTAATGGAGACAATTTAATAAAAATAAATCATAAATATGGGGGTATAGTGGTTCTTACTTAGGTGATATCTTTGAGTGGGTGAGAAGGAATACCATCAACTGGCATTAAAGAAAAGTATGGATAGTTCAGATAAGATTTCAAAATCTGACAGATTAATTTGGTGACTGTCCAGTATTGTGGCAGAAGGTTGCAGAAGTCTTCTGTGATTGCTTCAGTTCCCTTAGAGAAGTAGTAGGCAAGGCCACTAGCTGAGAGTAAGGAAAGAGAGAGCAGCGCTGAGGTCTGAGGAAGAACAGAGGTTTTATTAAATGGTTGTCTGAGCCAGTAGTCAAATGGACATAGGAAATATAGCCAGATTCAGAAAATGTAGCATAATTCACTTGTAGTTGATAGTTATGGATGTAGAGTGATCTATAACCAATTCACATGGTTTGGTTTTAATTCTGTCAGCTGACCCAGGTAAGGGTACAGCGATTACTTATGGTCTTTCCAAACAAATGTGTACATTAACTCCAGAACTTACTGAGATTAGACACTGCACTTCATTTATCTAAGGAGAACAGAGAAGCCAGGAAAGTGTTGAGAATCACTGGGTAGCTTTTAAGATTAACCTCACATTATTCATGGGAGGATACTGGGCATTGGAGGAGAGAGAAAAGAAAGAGATTGTAGTTAGAGAGTGAGATGCTTACAAGTAAGATTATGGAAGGGCTGCAATTACTAGTAACAGCAAATACTTAAGTTTGATATTGTCTCCACAATGTGTCAGTCACTCATGACCAACAGTTTGAAAAATGAGGGTATAGGTAAGAAGAGAATCCTGCATAAATCACATTGGATCAAAGACATGAACGAAAAAGGGCTTTCTAGCAAAGACCAATGAAACAAGCGTTATGAATAGAGAGAGTAGTAGGTGTAATAATCTTCAGGAAAGACTGACATAGTATGCCAGGGGAACATAAAGTGGTTCAGTCATTGCTATTGGATCCTAGTGGATGATGTTGAGTGTGTAATGAAATATGTTCAAAGCACAGAGGAAGGTCATATAGGGTCTACAACCACATCAAAATTTTGGTTCTACTCCAAATGCATTGGAGAACCACTGAAATAATTTAAGCTGTGGCACTTGATTCTCATAGTGTGAGTGATTCTTTTGACACTTGTAGAAAACCCACAGATAGGGAGTAGTAGGGAGATATGTCTGGATCCAGGAGATGGGATTAGATGATCTGTAATAGTCCAGGTGAGACATAGTGATGGACAGTACTACAATGTACTATTAGAGCTAAAAAGAGATGCAGAAATGCAGGATTTATTCAGAGAGAGCTTGAATGTGGGATGTACATGTAAGAGTGTCAGAGACAGAAATAAGATGCAAGAAGCACACATGGTTTGTAATATTTTGGGCAATCAGCAGATGACAGTGTCGCTAGTGAAATGCTGCAACCATAAGAAGAGGTGGTTGGTGAGAATATCTGGTTGGCTGTTCAACCATCCCAGCCAGTGGTGCTAGAGAGAGAGTCAAATGCAAAAACTTGTATGGGATAAACTAAACAGTTGTGAATGTTCATTTCCCACACTGATTTTTTTTATACAGCACAACTTTTAAACTTCTAAGATGATCAGCAGATGGAGCAAATATGCCTCCCCTTTTGCATTGTGCCTCCTCTTTCTCTCTCTTCTCTCTCTCTCTCTCTCTCTCTCTCTCTCTCTCTCTCTCTCTC